TTCTTACGTGTTATTTAATAAATGAATTCATTTAATATCACAAATTCTATATAAATAAAAAAAACATTAATCATTTATATGGTATATAAAATTGTACTTGAAAATAATATAAAAAAATTATTTCAGAAACATTTTTAAATAATAATAATAATAATAATAATAATATCCCTCATGCCGACATAACGCCAAGCGGACGTGGCAATCAGTTAGATTCCAAGTTCTAAGAAGGGGCGTAACTAATTAAAAAGCCCTCAAGTTTATAGTATTATAACTTTTAAGTTTCTATATTTAAAATACATAATTTAACTACTTAAATTCAAACAAGGTTATTTTAATTTAGGGCATTGAGATTTAGATTTTTTATGGTTTAGTGATTCTAATGTTACGGATTAGATTATACTTTTTATGGTTCAAGGTTTAAAGTATTAGGATTTAAATTTTTTAAGGTTTAATTTTTTTAAAAATTTGATGTTTTGGTCGTTAAGTAGAGTTTAGATTTTTTAAAATTTAATATTTAAGATGTTAGGTTTCAGTTTTTTTTTTTGAAATTAAATGCTTAAGGTGTTAGGGTTTAAACTTTTTAGGTTCTATATTTTATGATATTAGGATTTAAATTTTTTGGACTATATATTTTATGATATTAGGGTTTAGATTTTTTTTAAAGTTAGTGTTTAACATGTTAGGGTTTTAATTTTTTTCGAATTTAGTATTTAATATGTTAGGGCTTATATTTTTAAAGTTTAATATTTAAAAATTTAAGTATTTAATGATTAAAAATTATAAAATACAAGACTAAAAAGTAAAATTTAAAACTTAAAATTTAAGAAAAAAAGCTATAAAAACCAATTGGCTTCACTCAAGGAGTATAAAAAATTAAAGATTTGTATGCTTAAATAAAGATTAACAACAAATGAAAAGAAAGAAAAAAATATGGCACTAGTTAACCTCAAAACGTACGACAAAAATTTTAACCTTTATTAAAGTTAAGTCAAATAAGGGTAATTGTAATATTTTTCCTTCTCTCGAAATAATAAAAAAAATGAGGCCTAATTTACTGCATTATGGACCGCTTGACTTCTACTACCTTAGAGTTGTCACCAGAGAAGTTGTCCGCGGCGTACGTCGGCGTCCCTAGCAACAGGGCTTGTCCCCAAGCGGGGGGTGGTCTTTCTCTTCTCGTCCCTTCCTCTCCGGCAACAGTAGAAGCTTCTACTGCTTTCGCAACGTTCTTTTTCTTCTTCTCCTTCCTGCAGCCTCTTGAGTACTGGTGATGATGGCTGTGTGAGGTTAAGTGGGTTCAAGGATGCAGGTGGAGGGGGCCGCTTCACGCTAAAGGGCGGCGGTGGTTCGGGTGGAAGTGCTGGTGGCAAGACAGTGGACGGAGAGTGAGGATCCATCGCGGGTTGAGGGGTGCAACTATGCGGCGGAGGCGTGGTTGCCGATGAGTGTAGGCTGCGGCTGGTGGTGGAGGCAGCAGCGGCATGCAAGATGCGGAAAGTGTTTTGGTTTAGGTTGAACTTGAAGATGAAAACTGGGGTATTTGCCTTGCATATTCTTCTTCTTTAGTGGGGTTACCATTTTAGTCCTAATATTTTTCTCTTTTGTTCACTGTTTGTCCTTTTTCTTTGGTAATGCTACATACACACACACACTTCCGTCGCACCCTTTGTTACACCCACTTACTTTTTGTTACTTTCCATTACTCTCCATTTTGTTAACTCTCAAACCTACAATTACCTAATAAAACCTGCGATTTCATCCTCTTCACCAATGCTAGGTTCTTTGATTTTCAACCTTCTTTCTTCTTTTCCCTCCTCCTTTCTTTTTCTTCTTCTTTCCCTCTCCTCTCTTCTTCCTTCTCCTCCCCCCTCCTTGATCTGGGTTCTCATGGAGAACCCAAATCTGAGTTCTCCTACAAAACCCACAGGACAGAGGAGAGAGGGAAAAAAAAAGAGGAAGAACATAATGGATATTTATAAATTTTTGTTAGAATTTTTACAATTTTGATAATATGGTATGTTGTTCGATTGATAAGAAAGTTGGAGGTGGAAAGAAAATTTCTTTGGTAAGAAGGGGGGTTGGTGTTTAGTTTGGATGACTGACAATTGTCTTACAAATTATTAGGATGAGAATGGAGGTGAAAAGAAAGATGAATCTGGTGAAGACGATGAATGGCTAGAAGAGAAGAGAAAGGAGAGAGAGAAAGAAAGGGTTGGCTGAATGAGTGTGGAGTTAACTGTGAAATTAACGAAAAAAAAATGAAAAGAGAAGGTGTGCAATGGAATGCGTGGAAGTTGAGTGTCAAGGTATCATTGTCCTTTTTCTTTTTTTCATTTTTGGCCTTATTGCTAGCCAAGGTGGAGAGACCAAGAGCCACGGCTTAGATGAATAAATCTATCTAATTAGGATTTTTTTTTTTCTTTAATAAAATTAACATCAATAATTGGACTTCTAGATGGGATATACTTCGATTGTTGAACGGTGCTTAATTATGGAGGACTGACAATTTGAAGTGGGTTCTATTTCGTAGCTTGACTGTTTTCTTTTTTTTTTTTTTTAATCATACTTATTATTGTCTTTTAATTATGAATTTTTCTAATATATACTTTTAAGATAAAAAATAAAGTTATAACTTTATAATTATTAAGTCATATAAAAATTTAAAAAAACTATATTATGTCATAACTCAAATTTTTACTAAAATATATATTATATTATATGATGAATAAATTTAAAATTTGGCTTTGAAAATGATGCCAATTTATTTTTGTATTTCTTTATGAAAATGATTGAAATTGAAGCCTCGCTAAAATCAAGAAAAAAAAAAGTGGGACATAAAGGTAAGACGGGAAAGTTTGAGTGACTAAAATGAAAAAATTGACCCCTTCAAAACTGACGTTGTTTTAGCTTTAAAGGGGGTGGGATTAAAATCAAATCGTCTTCCTCCAGCCAACCGTGCTCCGGCCGTAATCCCCGTGGCTAAGTTTAAGCGTTCTCTTCCTCTAATCTCAGATTATCCCCCCCCCCCCCC